TTGCCAAACAAAATCAAATGCAAGCGCGATTGTATGCGATAGAACGCCAGAGTGTAGCACTCTATCCTCTCGCCTTATTTAAATTTTTGACTTTAAATTTAACGCCTATCTGTCAAAAAGTTGGCTTCATGCTAATAGAATATTTGCATCTTATTAATAAATTATATGTTTCACTTTAATTCCAAAGTAATATTCCCGAGTAGATGGCGAATCGATTTCCGTTGAAACTCGCTCGAGCCATTTTCCAACTGTCGATTCATCCACGGCAAAACGCGGAAATTGATCACTCCGCTGCGTGTATCACATTCAGACCCGGACGATCGCGCAAGTCGAAATCAGAAACAGGGGAGGTGAAAGAGCACCGAGATGGAGAAATGGGGGGAGGGAGGGGAGGGGAGGGAAAGGGGCGGGGCCGGAAAGGGGGGGGGAGGTGGAGGAGTGGAGGATGCGAGAGTTAAATTAGTTTCCGGGGCAAAAGCTGGCTGCCGGCCGGTTTTCAGGACCTAACCCCGTGTATAATTCCAGAACAGCTCCATCAGGCCGGAACCCACCAAGAACCTTCCATCCAGACTATCCGACCGCCTCCGCCGGCGCGCCACACGGAGCATCCCCCTAACACGTGTGCGCGCCCACCACCTTCCCGGGACTTCGCGGGCGCTGCAGTTTGCGAAGTTAATTACCGTCGGATAATTGCACCCTATATGCCGTCCGTCTGATTAATGAGGCGCGGCCGGGCGAGGATCATCAGGGATACTGGAACCGCCGTCCCTCCCTCTTGTCATCAAAGGACGGTTTCGCGGTTTCCTGCGGGATAACGAATTATTAGTTCGTCTGCGCGCGGCCACCGCCGCTTTCATCGTCGCTTCCGCCGATCGTTCGACACACCGGAGAATTCGAGAACGAAATTGCGAATCGAAACATTTTTAAAACACGTCTCACTCGAACGGCGATTAATGATTCGCCGAGCCGCAAATAACTTAGGAGAAATATTTTAATGGGTAAAGCGTGTATTTTATATTTTTAGATACATGTCGCGAATATTTCTTTCACGGTAAACATTTTTTCATGCGAAGATTTCGAACAAGATCCTCGTTTTATTCAATGTATCGTCCATTATATTTTATTCAAAACTCAGAGTCCCAATTTCCTTACACCTGCGGAACCTTGTATCCAAGGCTCGCTCATGAAATGTGATTGCTTGTGGAGTTTGGAGAACCTGGATTAATTAATATTTGCGCAATCACGGTATTGCTCTCGGTTATCTCAGGAGGTTGTTCTGGAAACGATTCCTTCGAGGAATCCTCGGGAGGACACACAGGAAGTGCTTTCGCACGGGTTGCGGTTGCCTTGCGCGAGCTTGCAAAGCAGCCAGCTTCCTTGGCGGAAACCCTTCTTGCTTGAAGAGGGAAACTCAGCAAGATCTCGAAAGGTTGTCTGGTATACGGTAGGAAAGCTTGATTACTGACGCGTCGCGACATCAATTTCGTCCGTTATGCACATCCTTAGCAAGGACACTCTGTGCACGGGTAGACGATCAAAGCGCGTCGATTGTTAATTAATTAACACCGGGAAATACACTAGATACCGTAATGAGAAACAGATTCTAGCTCGTTGCATACTTCGATTCAACGGCATACGTAATTATACACTGCATACGAAGTATACATGTAATTAATGTAAATTAATATATAACTAATATATAATGTATGTAACTAACATATACAGCATTAAAAAGATAAAAAATAAAAAAATTTTTTTTAATAAAAAAAATATGATATATATTTTCGTTATTATTCGTTATCATTATCATATAACGATGTTTGTTTCAGAGATTTCTATAAAGTATTTCGGAAAACGAAAAATAGGACGATAAAAATAGTACAAATGTCGCCTGAATCCATATTGTATAATACGGACAGATTGTCCCGTTTCTTCTAAACCGCGCGCATTTAGGCGAGTCAAATATGGACCTCGTAAATAACGCGTATACTTTCATCTCGGCGATTTACGAAACCGTGCTGACAGTCGCTACTAGCACCAGCTTTTGCATTTCATGATCCAGAAAAGCTCCAGCAAGCTTTCGAAACAGCGACGGATAGAGGTCTGACTGTTTGTTTCCAACGTGCGACGAGTGTAACTGAACGTTTTCAACCGCAAAATGATGCTCGCGGCCGACACGCGCATTCAACGCGGTGAAACCGTCTTCCTTTATTTTTTATTTTTTTTTTTTTTTACGTCTCCCCTCCGACATGCCGTGCTTTTGTTCTCCTCTCGCCGCAGGCCGTGCTTGTACTACATAAAGGCTCATTTTCACGTAGCATCGCGTCCTGGCGTTTGGTGTCTTTCCTTGCTGCTGTTATCTCGCAAACGTCATAATCAGCAATGTAAAATACCTATCTACTGAAACAGACGCGGGAGTAATATAGCTTCGAGTGTGAGTTAAAGCGGATTTGCTAGTCGGTATACAAGTTCGCGGATTCAAGTAATTAGAAAGTTGTGAAAAAGTAATACATTCATTTTACTTTTTCAGTCGTAATACAATTGCCCATCCTTTCTTTATAATCTTTATCTCTCGAAACTCGTCATTAGACCATCGAGATTTTATCTACCCTCTAAAAGGATTGCTTTGCACGCGCAACATATTTCCATTTATCGTTCCGTTATCATTCGCGTCCATCGACCAATATGATGCAATCATCGTCGCGGCGCAACGACGTAAAATTTACTGCACCGGCTGTAAAATTTACCGTTGACGGGAATATTCACGAACTGCACATTCACTGTCCGCGAGATCGTTACGAGTGACCGATACGCAAAAACCGGCGTAAAATCTAATCTAGCAAGGTGTTCCCGCTGTTAATCTGTAAATAACGACGCGGTGCATGTTTAAGAGTTAAAAATGATAATTCCGTGCTTTGGTAGCACATAATGTGCAGCAGAAAACCAAATTGAAATTAAATTCTTAAGTAACTTGAAATTACTTTTTAATGCAAATTAAAGCAATTCTTAAATAACTTAAAACTACTTTTTACTGTGAATTAAAGCAACTTAAAACTGCTTCTTATTGCAAACTGCAAGCAATTCCTAAGTAATTTTAAACTGTTTTTTAGAAGAAAATGCATCTTCGTTATGTATGCCGATTTAATAACATTTTATGATCAACGTGCAGATTTTTATACCGCAATGCAGACGCCGCCACCGGATTGGTTTAAGAAATATCAGCAGGTGGAAATATATCAGTAAGTGTTACTCTATGACACGGCTTAGCGAGATGCCGGCGAGAGATATGGCACGTCTCTGATTGCGTTCCTTAGTTCGCAGCCGCTCCTTATTGTCCGCCCCGTCTTTTACCACCCCTTTCGGCGCCAACCGCGCGCTTGTCTCTCTTCCTTTTTGCCTTCTCTTCTTAACAGTGCAGCTATTCTCTCGCGCGGTTTTTCTTTTGTCCCAGAAGAGTCTCAGGGTCGGATTTAATCCCTTTATCTTCAAGAATTGCTTTAACTTTCAGTCTTACTTTCCGCACAATAGCGTGCGTTACTCAAGTTCTTAGTTATTATTTTTTAAAGTAGAAACCTATTTTTAGCTATAAACCGGGGCCCACTTGTTTATTAAATTTTTAAGCATTCTGTAATTACACCACATTGGAATATCAATTCTCAGTTATGCAATTTTTGTTTCAGCATATTTGCATATTTGGACTTTTTTTTTTATTTGGCTTACTTTGTTTCATCTATTTTACGCTTTATAAATCTAGTAGAATTTTCATTGCGTTCGCAAGTAAAATATGAACAAACGCACAACAGTTAAAGTAAGATTATAGTAAAGTAAACGAGACAATACGACCGAAATAATGGCGGTACTTAACTAAACTGCTCAAATAACGCAACCACTGCGTGCCACATATGGGACGCCGCTAACAACCCCCAAGAGGTGAAAATTTGCGCGAGCGGCCCTGAACGGAGATGGCGCGCTTAGAGTAAACGGAGGAGAGAAGAACGGAGAAGCTTTACAGAATTAAGGAGCCATTCGCCTTTCATTAACTCACTGCAAGCCCAAGGGGGAAAGATATTCCCTTCGTGCTAACTCATCCCCGGGTTTATCACTGCGCTGATGGGAGGGAAGGGGGGGGGGACGGCTGTCTCCGATAGAACTGGACTTTTATCCTGTCGCGAAGCCATTTACTGACATCGCTGCCGCTTAGCAAATAGGTAAACGAGACTCCTTCCCGATTCGCCCGAACTCTTCAGCCGCGATCTAGATTGCACCACTTCGTTAATCAAGACGATAGAACGCTCGCGACTCGCTCGCGTTTTCCATCCTTTCTTCGCGTTTGTTTTCCCTTAAACGTCCTCAAGTTTTAGATTAAATTTGAGGTAATCGGCAGTTCTCTCTTAATCGCTTTAATACTCCTCCAGAGAAGAGAACTCCAATAAAGTAATTATAGTTGCTTAGTTAACGAGTCCTTCTAATTTATTTTCTCGTTGAAGCAGAATTTGCTGATTAGAAAATTACTATCGCAGCGCAGTTAATTAAATTCGTCAAGTCAATAAATACGCTATTTGTGACACGTGTAAAACTTGGATCAAAACCGCGAGATATTTCTTTTAAATAACAAATTCTCAAAAACACTGAAACGGGAAATTTCCAGAAACAGTTTTACAAAATTCATTATATTTCGCATGCTTGCGTACGGCGGAATAATGCAAATGCGCGCGCAATGAGATTTTTATTAAGAAAATGCACAAAACGCTAATCTCAAGACAATTTTTCTCTTTCTAAAAATTTCATTTCTTTCTCAAAGAAAAAAAAAAAAAGAAAGAAGCGCAACTTCCCTCCAAAGGAGCATTGCGCGAATATCTCTCTAGTTGACATTATAACGGGCCAGAGAATATATCGCGTCTCACAAATCCAACCACACACAACCGAGGAGGTTAATCTTTGCTGTCACGGCAGACGAAGCTGCTCAAACCACGCATCAACTTTTCGGTGTTAAGACTTACCGGGATCGGAAGAGGGATGTGCCCTGGTGAGTCTGCAGAGTTGTAATGGCAGATAACGAGTATCCGCCCGCGGTGGTGACTTTGGCGGCGGTGGCGTCGCACTGAGGAAACCGCGCTGAAGTTCCCAGCCCACTTCCTGGATGATCGAAGCCTTCCTGAAGTACGGCGTCACTTCCCGTAGGTACTTCACTGTAACAGGAAGACCTGTCGTCAGCGTCTTGTCGTCTGGAGCTTGGGAGGATATAAATGTTTATGTTTTAACCGTTAATCTCTTCCAAGCCCTCACAATGATCTCGCGTAAAAGATCTGTTCGTTTTAGGTGCATTTCACGTGCTTCATTTTCACAAATTAAATTTACTTTTGTTCTCTCGACGACGTTTATATGCAAACATGTTGGAATGAATATTAACCGGCGCAAACATGTTGGCACTAAGTATTTATATTATTTTACGTTTACACGCTCCAATAAATTCTACAACACGCTCTTTTAAACAAATTTGCGCCAACATGAACCAGATGCGTGAATGCCGCTTTATAAAAAAAAAAAAAGTAATTACAGATTTGCTAATAAGTTTATTTCCAAACAGAATATAAATTTTTTTAAATAACACAAAAAGAAAGAGAGAAAGAGACTTAATTGTTATCCGTCGTTAAAAAAATTAAAAAAAAAACCAATTTATATTATTTTGCATTATTCATATGAGTTTGCGCGTGCAAGGATCTGCAAGGATACAGCCTCGACAATCTAAGTTTCTTCTCGAGAGACGCGCGGTTCTGAAACGAAAGTCATGTCGCGGAAATCGAGTATCGACCTTTCGAATTGCGGGGTCGCCTCCGCTTAGCCGACATCTTGTCGGCCCTATTACGCGAAATTTAATGGAGAACGCGCCGTCACGTGGCGACAGCGGCAGGACGGGGATGGAATTCTGATGTATCGTATCTACGATGATCCAATATGTCTGCCATAAGGCTTCATGTGGATAGTATATATGCAGCCCTGTATTTACTCCCCTTCGATCTCAAACGACATTTCCGCAGATCACGCCAATCCTCTTGATTGAATATATCAGCATTCATCAGCGTAGACGCTCAACGTCAACGCCTTTGCCTCCAACGTAATCCTAATTTTATGGAAATTATAACAAGGAATTTATTTCAATCGAATCAATTTCCAATTAAACAAATTCCTTAAATTACAATTTACATACCACGCTAAAAACCTTGTTGCAAAATTATGAATTTCAAACGATCAATATCGATTGTCAATATTTATCAAATATATTCGTCGTACAATTCCCCGCAATATTCCGACATTTTATTTACGTTCTCGATTTATAAGTTGGATTAATAATCCACGCATGCGTTAATAACAAAGTCACACGGGTATGGCGTCAGCGCGTTATAATATTATAGAATAGCCCGAGCAACATATTCTCAGGATATAGCCAATTTCTGCTGGGGATATCCTGTAGAATTAATTTCGCGCTGAAAGGGTTAACCCGGGGATTTGACTGTGTGTCCACGACCGAAGATCAAGCCCCCGTGTCCAACTTTTCATACGCGCACGTACCTCCTGCGACCTGGCCGTCGTATGCCGACGCGCGCCGTGTTTCTATTGAATTTATTTCGGTGCCGCGCGGACGGTGCGCGCTGCTGCTGATTGCAGCTACATCGAGCCGGCCAGGCGGGCATCGGGACGCCGGACCCGACGCAGCGCGACGCTTCGCTTGCCAGTCACGTATTCCTGCATCATTTGCTATGGGTTTCATACCAGCCATAACTCTACGGATATATCCACCACCCTCCGCCCCCTTGCCACCCCCACCCGCTCCCGTTTCCTCTCCCGTTCGGCCTTCAAATCCCGCCGCGTAACTGCGCCGAGGTTGTGTCCTCCCCGGCTTGCAGCTCTTAATCCGCCGCACATTCATCGAGCGAGGAAGTGGCGTCGGAATTAATCAAGTCTCGCCTGTCGTCGTTAATTCGAGCAAAGGCCGCTAATTTTCATTCGCTGGCGAGCTGTTAATCGCGGAGCGGTCTTTGACGAAACAGGATTCGCGACGAGATTGAATGGCATTGTACCGCTTTGCAAGCCGGCGAACCTGCCACTGCGAAATGATGTGACGAGGAGATCGGTAAGCTTTGATTGAGCTTTCATTGGGCGGGTTTGTTTAAGGACGCTTGTAGCACCCGCTGGATCGTCCTGATTGCATTTAAATTCGAGACGAAATACATTTCGACGTTTAAAACTCGCGAGCGTCAAAAGTGCAATCAACCGCAAATTGCAATCGGTTATTAAAATAGTATACAAGAATATGTGTGATCACTAAGATGATTTCAGCAAAAATGAAATAAAAGTGCCGACACGGATTCTATAAATACGTTGTACATATTGTAATGTGTATTATAAACAAATACATTCGAACAAACTTACTTGCAAAAGAATCAAATAAAAAGACTCGAGCCAAAGAGTGCGAAGCCATATCGTGCAACCAATATCTTTCGCTGGTTGAACTTTCACATTATAAGAAATTCAAATTGAAAAAAAAAGAAGACCACTAGCCGAGAGGACCCGTTACTGTGCGGCTCCATCAGCGCATTCTGCTTGCATTCCCCGTCGAATCGGGCCAAAATGCTGGATAGCCGGTGCAGCGTTGCGAATCAATCGACCATAATCGCACCCGTTGAATCGCGTTCTCCCGTTTCCTGCGTCTGGAAAAAGCGTTTCGATGGCGGCCGTGCGCGCCGAATATCAATGGCCCATTTCGTGCCGAAAGCTGGCCCTCCCCGGCATCCAGGAAGGATGCCGTCGCGTCGTCCTTGTTGCGGCCAGATAGGAGCTAATAAACCGGAAGGCGGCTATCGCGCCCATTCGATAAATCGATCATGGCCCGATCCCAAGATCGTAATTCGATCTTTGCACGTCGCGCCCTGCCGAAGGACCATAATGGACAATTGAAGCATTTGTGCTGCATTCACGATATGAATATTCAAGAATCGCTAATCTGATTTTAATAGAATTTTTTATTCTCTCATTCTCACTTTTTTTTTCACGCGTAAAATGCCTTGAATATAATTTTCAATTTTGAATCTTTTTTTTCACAAGTTTTAGATTTTTCTAAAACATCGCAAAAAGTATCGGAATATTTAGAAAACAGTTTATAGTTTTAATTTTTTTAACCTAATATCTACTTTATTAGACTTTTATTTACGAATCTCGTCTCGTCTGCGAAATATCTTTAAAGCGGACGTTGTAGCTCGCACAGATAAAAAGGAGGACGATATCGCGAAGAGTATGTCTAGCCACTCGCCCTGGGAGCGATACTCGTTTCGAATTCTCCCGCTGCGATTGGCAACGGCATTCGAATCCTACGAGCTCTTACGAGGCGAAAACCCATTTCTTTCCCCGCAACGCGCCTTCGCCTCCCCTCCGTAAAGCCTCCAGGAATTTCTCTCAAAGGATCTCGCGTATAACGAAACGTTCTCGGCATGGGGCAGATTTCTCGACAGATTTCTAAGTCCCAGTAAATCCTGATAGAACCATCGCGATCCATACGGGAGCAAGACATTCGGCCAAAAGTCCTTGCAATTTGCTTGCCGCCATTTCACCTCGCGATAAGCAAAAAAAAAATGTGGAAAAACAACAAACTTTTTAGCTTTTCTTAACGGAAGCAATTTTCCCGTGATAATCTGACATCCCTATATGATGTAAAATATAAAAACCACAAACACACAACAGAGTACGCGTTACTAATATAATTTTGTCAAAGTGGATTTGAAACGTTCAACATTTCGACTAATAGCTTCGGCGATCTCCCTAAACTTGTTAAATTCAACACCATCACTTTTCTGTAAATCGTGTATCTCGAGAACACGATATCCCGCCGATAACGAAGTTGCAGGAAATGCACACGACATGAAAGCCGAAAAAAAAATACTGCGCGAGCTATCGACCGAACGATTGGCAGACCGGTATATATTTTACCGCGATACATATATATATTTTTAAGACCGAAATTCCACGGTTTAGCGGCGATGAAAGTGAGAGTGCTGAATAAATAAATTCTAAAGAAATGAATTATCTGACGCATTCCGGCGTGACTTTGCAAATACTCGGGAATTTTCAAGCCTTCGGGACGATTGAATTAAACCGTTGCCATCAATAAACAAAAGATTAAGCGATCCATTTAAAATGATCATCAAGAATAAACGGTGTAAATTTATCTTAATGTAACTAACGCTCTCGTATGTTGATACCGCCGCACAAATATCGGCAATTTGTCACATTCCTCGCCGCTCCCCTCTCTCCATCCACTTCCTTCTGCACTGCGCGTTACATAACACCCTCCTCTCCCATTCGCATACCTGCACGTGTTACATACGCTTACACTATTACCTACGCTTTACACTGATATATCCAATATATCACGTGATACGCGCGCGTGTATTCGCAGTCGGAAAAGCGTGCCATTTTTGCGCTTTTTATAGTCGCAGTCGCTTTCATAGACTTCAACTTGACTGCGCTTCCCTTTAGCTGTATGCGCGCGTACGTGCAAGGGGAGGAAGGAGAAAAACGCGCGCACGTTAGCAGCCGTGTGCAAACGCTCTCAAAAAGTAACTCACACACTCCTCCATTTACTTCTTTTTCGTAAGTGTAAATCTTGAATCCTCATGATTTATTCGCGATGTCTAGCTCCTCGCGTTACTGGAATAATCGCGCTTAAAAAAGAATACAAGAATATTTTCAAACGTGCAAACTGCGCGGGTAATAATATATTTTTAAAAATATAAACCATAATAGACTATAAATTACATTCTAAAAGAAGTAACTTAATTCTATCTAACTTAAATTCAGTTCAAAGAACTTTCAGAACCAATTATTTCCCCAAATTAGCATTAAACTCGCCAAATCACATTTACTTTACTTTGTCAAAGTTCAAAAAATGATAATGGAATGAACAGGGTGTTATATAAAACGAAATCGATAAGCGCGGTTCCTTGTTAAACTGATAATCCGTCGTGAGCAATTTTTGCTCGGGGGCGTTATAGGAAAATGCAAGGATCAGCCTTGATAAGGTAAGGAAGCCTTGATACATTCTCGCATCTAAAGGATCGCACGAATCTTTCTTCCACAAGAATCATACGATTACTCCGGTAGTAACGGCGAAAAGAGCAGATTTCTTGGGTGGTTT